CTGGCATCGTGACCCGTCGCGACCATCCATAAATCACAGCCTCGTCCAGTGCAACAGTTGTCCACCTCCCCCCCCCCCAAACTCAATTAACGACAAAGCTTCTCCTATAAAGATAAAACCAACATGAAACGCATTGACATAGGTAGAAAAAGGTATGAATGAGAATGAATATTTTCACAATACAAGAGATGTACTGTGAAGATATTCATTCTCATTCATACCTTTTCTACATGAAACACACTCCCCTCGGCTCTAGCTCTCGGCTCTAGCTCTCGGCTCTAGTTCTCGCCAACGAAACCTAGCTCTACGTGCAAAGACTTTTTTAATTCGCGTAAAAATCGAGAAAAAAATGGCGACCGATTATCCTTGCGCCAGAGCATTAAGGGAACCCCCCTACATACCCAACCGAAAACCTTACCTATCCACATATCAACAAACTCCTATGGAAACTCTCCAAATGTCCATTTCTTTTTGGCGTTCTATCCAAATCCGTTCCTCTCCTCTTGAACGCACAACAAACGAAAACAAGAACAAGAGACCCCTGGCCATCACCCACAAGAGCCATCAGTAAAAATAATAAGTCATAACGCCACCAACTGAACCGAAACTCGCCACAGAACGCCAATTACAACCAGTGCCAGCTGATGGAGAATTTACGACCACCAACACCGGCAACACAGGATAATATTAAACGGAAAGACACGTGGATAATACAAATAGTGAGAGACATTCACCACGCGCGAATTGCACACCTGCTAAACGGAGCTAAAAATAGAACGCTCATTATTTTAGTACGCCCTCGATATGCCCGTACCTTCCATGAGCCAAAAACTCCATTTGTACAGAGGTACAATGACATAAAAATTACAGACGCAAACATTTCTCTATTTATTTCCCTCTTCTCTTTCTTATTCTCTTTGTCGTCCCTCTCTCCTCTGTTTCCCTTAACGCTCCTACCTAACTGTCCTAATTCTACCTCTCCACCTTTCTTTGCTATTCCTTTTAATTTTCTTCTTCCATTTCCATACCCACTCCCATTCCCTCTCCCTCTCCCTCTCCCTCTCCCTCTCCCTCTCCCTCTCCCTCTCCCTCTCCCTCTCCCTCTCCCTCTCCCTCTCTCCCTATTTTCGCTCACACTTTTATTCATCTTTCAAAAAAAAAACATTTGCCATTTGTCCTTGCAATTCAACATGCGAAACACACATATGGCAACATAATGTGGAGATGGAATCAATCGGGTCAAAACACAACTAGACGTAATTCTGTTCCTTTCTGCGCCGAAATAACATGGGGGTATCTTCAAAGGTAGCGTGTGCCAGAAAGCAAGCAAGCAAGCAAAAAAGACACGAGAGAGAGAGAGTGAGAAAGAGAGAGAGAGTGTGTGTGTGTGTGTGAGAGAGAGAGAGAGTGAGAAAGAGAGAGAAAGACCGAAAAATGAGAGGAAAAGAGACTCAGAACAAAGTCATTTCTTCTCTGCCCATCTCAACTACCTCGCCGCCTTCAGTCACTCCCCGCCTACCCGGACACGCCCATCCTGGCAACAGCCCCTTTCTGCATTTTTGTCCCGAAAACCCGAGGTCCCTTTTTGCCCCCGAGCCGTGGGTGCCCTATTCGTCTAGCCCTTTGTCTAGCGAGTCCCGCGGCCTTGTAGAGCCATCCACACTACCCTCTTCCGCCAGACCGTCTCCTTGTAATGGCCGACGAAAAGAAAACTGACCCCCCCCCCCTACGCCGATCGACTTCGGCGACGTCGGAAGCCAAGTGGCCGTCGACGAACCACAAATAGCCGAAGTCGCTAAGTTGAAGAAGAAAAAGAAATTCCGATCCTGAGAGTCGACGGGGGAGAAAATCCCTCTCAAGCACCCCTCTCTCCCTCCCCCCCCCCACCTACAACCAAAGGGGAAACAGATCTGCGCACCGTAACAACATTCTGGCGTAGCCCCCCACCCCCCCACCCCCTACCCACCCCGCGCTTCTTCTTCTCGTTTCCCTTCCTGTATTCCTCCTCCGGCACGTCCACTTCCATTTCCAAATTCTCTTTTGCCTCCGCCTCTACCTCCATCCCCAACTGCACCATACCAAATGCCCTCCACTTTTCCCACCTTCCCCAAAACTAACTCTACCTCGCTCACTACCTTTTCCACCTCTCCTCCTTCCACCTCCACCTCCTCCACCCCCTCCACCCCCACCACCCCCCAGTACCTCCACCTCGCCCTCGTCCACCACCTTTCCCACCTCTCCTCCACTTCCTCCCCCCACCCACCCACCCACCCCACCCCACTGCATCCACCCCCACCGCCTCCCCGGCTCTGACCTCAGTACCCGGCCAGCAGCGACCTCAGGGCCTCAGGTAGACACACTGAACGGGTAATTTTCCGCGACGGGGCTGCCTGTAACACCGCCAGCGCCAGTTTTTATGCAGCGACGCCATTACTCTCTTATTGAGGAACACCCCGCGCCTCTCGGACCCTCCTGTCACACACACACACACACACACACACACACACACACACACACACACACACACACACACACACACACACACACACACACACACACACACACACGGAAGCGCATGTGCATGTGTGCTGTACATTGATGAGAGATAACTCATATCCAGAGAAAGGAAGAAAGGTCGAGAGAGCGAAAGAAAAAGAAAAAGAAAAAAAAGAGAAAGACAGACAGACAGACAGAGAGAGAGAGAGAGAGAGAGAGAGAGAGAGAGAGAGAGAGAGAGAGAGAGAGAGAGAGAGAGAGAGAGAGAGAGAGAGAGAGAGAGAGAGACTGCGGTAGAGAGAGAGAGATTGAGATAGAGAAACAGAGAGAGACTGACAGAAAATCAGAAAGAAACCTATCCACAGACAAACAGAAGACAAGAAAAAATATATATGTACAGAGACCCCCAACCCCCAACCCCCAACCCCCTACCCCCACACCCCCTATCCCCAACCCCCACCAAGAAGCGGCCAGAGCCAAGCGCCCTCCGGAGCCAGCAGAGGTAGCGCCCCCCCCCCAGCCGAGGAGAAGGTCCGAGGGCGGGAAACACAAGCGAGGCACCGGAGATGACGTCGGCGGCCGAGATAACAAAAGACGAGAGAATAACGGAAGGACCCGGCGATAAAGCCATGACTAAGGGAGATAAGAGAGAGAGATAAGGCGGGAAATTAAAAAGACAGGCGGCATATTGGGAGATAAAATACACCGAAATAAAAACAATAAAAGAAAATCCTTTTGAGATAGCCGTCTCGACCGGCGTGGATTCTGACAGTCACTGCAAATTGTTCGTTTTTTTTATTAGATATTTCTGAATTACGGCCGATGTCAAGATAACTCCTAAAATATAGAACTGATCTTAATAATTCATAATAATAACTCTTCTACATCACTTAGTATTTTCTTTTAAATTTAACATTTTGAAATACCCTCAACGTACTTGAAGAGTGAAAAAACACAAAAATAACACAACGTCTAAACACAAAAACAAAACACTTTAATCCATAAAAACTAATACAATAACATTTACCCAATATTCTCCCTGAGAACAAGCTACAAGTACAAACCAACTCTTTCCTCGCACGCAAAACAGACACCCATAAGAGCGTTGTTCCAGCCAGCTCAAACCTCCTTCGGCGCCTTCGAGATGCCAGACGCCTTGGCACTTGCAGCGGCGCGCGAGGGGGACCGAGCCGCCCTCCTTACGGTAGCACGGGCGGCCGGTTCTCGAGGCCAGAGCCGTCACCTAAAACTAATTTCGTTATTTCCTTTTCTTTTTTAATGCCTCTTTATTTTCTAAATTATACTCTTCTCTTATCTTGTAAAATATCCCCTTTCTCTATTAATTTTCTTTTTTTATTTCAAAACTCCTTTGCTTTCGGGACTGTGAAGTCTTGGTGACATCTACAACACAAAAATCCCAATCCACATTTCGGGGCGGACTTTCACTGACCTGAGTGTGCATTTTTAAAACACTATAGTATTCCACACCACTGGCACGGAGGGGGCGACCAATCCACGCCCTTCCCGCCCCTCCGCAACAAATCCAGTATACTCATCAACATCGAAAAGAAAATATCACCGGAGAACAACACAAATATCCGCGTAGAAGCATAACACTGATCGTCCAAGTCGCAATCACAGACACAGTATCTTCAACTTCGATTTAAATAATGCACCGGACATGTAATTCGCACAGCAACGGCAATAATCGCACCGCCCAGGAACAATGTTTCCCAGCGTCTCTTCACAGTAAATAATCAAGGAAAAATGTATACACGAATATTCCGAAATGAACGCTGAGATCCATGGTCCTCGCCGCCGCCGCCGCCTTCTCTCTCCCGCTGGTGGTGTGCGGCGGGCGCGGATCGCTACTTCGTGTGCCACATGAACACATAGTGAACACCCACCCACGCGCACATAAACTGGTCCTTAACACCTGCCCTTGTTACAGGTGTCCTAGCGCGTCAAGACACCTGCAGAGACAGGGAGAGAGAGACTGAGAGAGTGAGTGAGTGAGTGAAATAGTGAGAGAGAGAGAGAGAGAGAGAGAGAGAGAGAGAGAGAGAGAGAGAGAGAGAGAGAGAGAGAGAGAGAGAGAGAGAGAGAGAGAGAGAGAGAGAGAGCAGAGGTGGGGCGAGGTGAAGTCTGGCGGCGGCGGCGGCGGCGACGGCGAGTTCCCCCTCGGAGTCCCTCGGACGGCGGCGCTGCCCTCCTTCCGAGGTCGCCTCCCTCCGCAGGCCTCAGCCGTCCGCAGAGGGTCTCTGTTCCACGATCCCGGAGCGGACAATTCCGCGCTGGAGTCCGCGGCCGAGGCGGCCATCGCGGGCAAAGGGGCACTCGAGCCCTGCACGGGAGGGCCGAGCACCGCCACTCACTGCCTCCCGAGTAGGCCGTGCCCGCCCCGCGAGGCGTCCGACAGGCGCGACAGAACGAGGCTCACACACTGGCCACGGGGCGCAACACAAGACGAGACCGAACTCCGCCAAAGGCCCAGGATGCCGTACCTCCGTCACAGCAGAGCACAGCCGTTCACAAGAGCTCGCTCACTAACGCACACACACACACCTCCGCGCGCTTCGGTACACAACATCCCTCGTCTACGCTGCGATCGTGACTCGTCCCCGCGGTGACCGACTACGCTATT